TTCCTTCTGTAAACATTGTTTTTATATAAAACTTGTCTCGATTTGTTTTACATTTAAAATCTTCAGCATGCTCAACACACTGACCATCGCCACAAGAAAATGACATTAGGCCACAGTGATGTTCATCCCATTCATTATCGGACATCTTGTAGCATTGATCAAGATACTCATCGATATCTTCTTCCGAATTGTCCATGCAATCCAAGTAACAATCAAAAGTAAAATCTTTTGGTATACACATTCCGTTTTGACAACGAAATGATACTTTCGGACAATTGTTTATTTCGAGCGTCGAACAATAATGTTCATCGTGTCCATCTAAACAATCAATTTTTCCATCACAGTATTCACGCCAGTCGAGACAGATCGATGTAGATGATATCCGAATACAATGATCATCAATATAGCATGTACCATTTGTAATTTTTTCAATAATAACATTATTTGAAAACGTTTTCTCTTCCAAACAAAATTTACGCATAACATTCTTCCAAACCAGCTCGTATCATCACAAAAGCAAAATGTTTGACGGTTAAACATCGAGTTCTCATCAAATTTCGAATGAATATATCTTTCATATTGATTCATCACATCAATTGGTGCATTCCAACTGTCTAACTCCAATGTCGTTATATTTGCTTTTCGTAGTTGTAAGAACGAAAATAGACGTCCATAACAGTCTTCTCTCTTATCTTCTATGACGGTTATTCCTGGTCTCCGACAATATGGAATTAAAAAATTTCTGCGATGATCAAGGGGATCTGTCCAGTAGAGACAGTCATAGTAACCATGACTCAAACGATCAGTATGATATAACTGCATATATTCATCAGCTAAATCATATGTACATAATAATAGTGATATCATTAGTACCAGTAGCATTTTAAATTTGAAACAAATACTAAGTACAGGCTGCTTTTCTTAGCATCTAATCCTAAAACGCTTGATTAGTATCATAAGTTCATAAACGTATTACTTTCACATTATCTATTCGACTTTTATAACAGAATTGAAGACTACGTGTTAATCGTGTTATGAGTACTTGGGTACACAGAGGCCAAAAAAGGTTGGTGTTAGAAAAGTAATAAAAAACACACACTCTAGATTACTCAAATTACACGTACGTGTGAAAAAGTCAAGAAAAATATTTTCTTTCCACAAGAAAGACGACATAACATATCTGCATTTTAAGAGACCTTGAGTATTAGAAATGAAAAGGAGATACATAAAGAGGGTTGATTCAACTCTATAGAGGTTGAGTTAGAGAGAATATGAAAATCTAGAGTATGTCTTTCATTTAATGTTATACCACAAAATTTTATGAATGAAACCTAATCGTCGTAAAATCTGCCGTGTTTTTTTTCGATAAAAATTGAGCGCGTAAGAGGAAAATCTTGAGGTGTAAGAAAGTTTCTTACAATTTCTTTAGTTTTAACAATCTTCTAAATTTCTTTTGTGTGCTCACTGAGCTTTCTGTAAGAGTTAGAATTGTGGGTAAAAGCTTGCCACATCGCACTCCAGCACAAACTGTAAAAACTTCTGGATGATTGAACATTAAGATGGCGATATGCACTACACTAAGAAAAAAGATGAACCATAATATGTACTTCCATATGTCAGGGGAAAACACCATCTTGGTGCCTTTTTCAGGTGAGATAAACGTCCACTACAGACCTCAGCGGCAACGGAAGATTTGATCCTGCCATTTTTTTTAACCACGAGAGCGTTGTAGGTTGGAATTTGAAATCCTCCGTCGAGAAAACAGCCAAGTCCTTGGAAGGAAGATTTTACAGTAATAGAAAATCTGCCATAATTCAATGTTTTAATAGAACAACTATTGAATCTTATTCTACAAAACATGATTATAGTTATTCGTGGAATTTTGATGATGATGAGACAATAGGCTCGTATTATATATATACAAGAGACTCTTCTACATAGATGCATTCATGCTAGGTCTAGGTTTCAAGATTTTGTTCAATTCCTGAAAAACGTTTTGTAAAACTCCTGTAGTACTATACGGTTGTATATGAAATATAAAAAGGAGTGTAGACTATACACAACACAAAGTGTCGTGATACCACAGTCTTAAAGATTCTGTACAAACGCGACGTAGTGGAACCCTACAAACACGACATAGAATGCAGTTGAAGAAGTTTCATGTTTAGGCCATTAGGCCTACGCTGACAAGCTATTTTAAATAAAATATAAATACCAAAATCACAAGCAGTAATATTGTTAGCCGTAACGTTGTGTCATAAAATTATTGAGAAAATTGAAATGCGCTATTTTTGTAGAGAATTGCAACTGCTGAATCTTTTGAAGCAATAATTGTTAGAGTTGAATCAAGTTTTGAAACTAATATCATCATCATCATTGGTGTTCTGCCCGAGGGCAGGTTCTAGGCACCCATGTTCTCCATTTCTGTCTTTCCATAGCTCTTCGTTTGATGTCTGCATACGAGTCCTCGTTTATAATATCATCCAATAACATAGCATGCGGCCTGGCTCTTCCACGCTTCCCGTAGAATCTACCTTCCAGGACCTCTCTCACCAGGCTTTCACCTCTTAGAATGTGTCCGATCCAATTTTTTTCCTTTGCAAGATGACGTCCAAAATCCTCCGACTTTCACCCGCTCTCGCCAGCATATATTCGTTCGTCTTGTGCTCTTGCCAGCTGATCCTCTCCATGTTTCTCCATGTCCACATTTCGAATGCCTCCAATTTATCTCTCTCCTTCTTCTTCATAGTCCATGTCTCTGAACCGTACAGAGCG